CATTTGGACAAGAACAAACTGGGAGGCGGGTAGAGAGAATAGTGCAACAATGAATGAATGGAAACCCAAAATCTCTGTAAATGTTTATGAAAATTAATGAAATATAATTATAGAAAAAAAAAGTCTGCTCATTAAATCTACCCATTCATGTTATTTCTATTACAGCAATACTAGGTGGTGGTGGTTGTTGTTTGTGCTGCCAAGTTGGAATTGATGCATAGCTGACCCTCCTGCAGGTTTTCAGAGGCAGTAAATGGCACAGAAGGAGATTCCCCATCCTTCTCATGCAGAGCAGCTGATGGATTACTGCATTGCAGTAATAACCAAAAATAAACTCAAATTATGACCATTTAGAATTAAAGAATTATACCCAGGAAAAGAAAGAGTATGTGTTTACAAGTTAAATTAGAGGAGTTCTATTACTTGATTCCTGGCATAAGTATAAACAAGTAGGTCAATGAAAAGATTTCTGAACTTCCCTGGTCATTTACCGTTCAATTAAGATGACAAAGCAACAATTGGAGGAGTGAAGAAGTAGTATTCTCAGAAAATGATTCTGAAACAACAAAACATTAAGAATGGGGGTGTGGTGTTAAAGCCAAGCCTAAAAGTTGGCTCTTCTAGCCATTAAATAAGCACCCTCTGGTCTCCAGCTGTCTTAACTGCAAACACATGGTCTTGCAAATCATCAATAGCTGTAGGACTAGGATAAGAGAGAGAGTGCTTTCCACTCTATGCAGCAAGACTTGAGAGAGACTGGAACAAGACTCTGGTGAGCACTGGACTCTGGTGATGGAGGTGGAGACACTGTGGCGTTGCTGTGAAGAAACTGTGGAGCTCTGAGATAAAATCTGCAGTTAAATGTTTTGCTGTTCTTGGCAGATGTTAGAAGAAAAAGCTGACTGCTGAAATAAAACTGAAGCCTAGACTAACTGAAGAATTGTGCCTTGGGAATACTGGACTAAAACCTAGACTTGAACTAGGTGATATTCTTTGCCTCCATCAGTCTCTAACTTACTTCCCTAATAAACCCCACAACTGTGAGTAAAGTCTGAGTCAACAATGAATATTGAACCCAGTGGTTGGTAGAAATAGATTCAGGAGCATGGAGGAGGAGGGTGTCTGACCTAGCAGCTATCAGTTTGTTGCTATGGATATTATTGAGGGGGCAGTTCCCTTTCATGAAGTGGGTAGAAGTCAGACTTGGCCACCTCCACATCCCATCTGCTCCTTCTGCAGGGGGAAAGACCCTCCACCTTCTGTTGCATATTGCATATTGCTGTTGATGTTGTTGTTTGTGCCAATGAGCTGGAACTGACTCA